CGCGGGCGAGGGGGGGGGGGAGGGGCGAGCCGAGGCGGCCGCGCCAGGTGAGGGGGCCGCTGCGGGAAGCATTGAGGGGGTCCCGGGAGGGACTGGGGAGTCCTGGGACCTTGACGGATGTCTCGGACGGGCTCGGGGCCACGCTGGGAGTCTTGGAAACTGGGGAGTGAGGGAGAGCTGGATTCCCAGCGGAACCTGCTGGCCCGCACTCAGCCCCCAAGTACAGAGGCCAGCGCTTTCTCTCCCCAGCACGCCAAGGGTGGGGTTTGGCCCACGAGGGGCGCTGGAGGTGGCCAGGCCAGAGAAATTCCTTCCATTTCCCGGCTGGCTGCGGGGAACAGGTTCCAGGAGCTCGGCTGCCAGGAAACCCAGCCGAGAGTGACCAGGGTTGCGCGGCGCATCTCCTTCGTGGGACTGAGGCAGGAAGCTGAGCGTGGAGAGGGTCTCATGGAGTCAGGCGCAGGGCTGGGATTTGGACGCGGTCTCGTGTTTTCTCCTGCAGCATCTCCTCTCCTGACAGTGGCAGGGGCTAGGGATCCGGATTGAGGGCAAGGCCTGGACTTTTGCACATTCCTTTTTTACGCCTATCCTTATTTTTGATAGGTGACCAAAATAAATAAATAAATAAATAATGCTGCAGAGGTGGTTTACAGCGAATTATTAATTTGAGGTTAGGGCTGGAATTATGGGAATGATGGAAAAGTGCAGGCTGAGCAGAGATAGGTAGGTTCACACTCAGAGGGTGATGTAGGATTAGGGGCTGCTGGCCGGGCACTGTGACTCTAGTGGTGGCTCCTGGGTTTAATCCTGCATCTACTCCCAGAGGACTCTTGGATTTGTCACTTGGATGGAGGCTGGAAAGGAAGCCAGCTAACTCTTGCAGTGACCCAGAGCTGAGAGGAATGACAAGCATACAGTACAAATAAACAGGACTCAAAGTGTTGGTGTGGGGCAGAAGGATGGGCCACACTAACGAAGTGAAAGTGACTGATGACACATATCGATAAGCGCTTGCACTGCAGTTAAGAAATCAGCTCATGAGTTCAAGTCCTGGTGCCTGGCTCAAAGGCCCAGCAACCAGGCCCCCACACTTCTCACGTACTGCCTAGGTGGGGGCTGTCAGGCTGCCCTGTGGCATAGCCAAAGCCTCAATCCACTACACAGGTCTAAGGATATGGGAGGAGGAGGAAGAATGCCTGGTCCTGGACTCTCTGGTTGGGCCCCGAGTTCTTATTCCAGCTTTGCCAATTTGCTGTGTGACCTTGGGCAAATGGCTTAATATTTCTGGGCTCTAGCTTTCTTACTGGTAAAAGGTGCATGATAATAATTCCTTTCTCATTGCATTGTGAGATTGAAATATTAAAAAGCATGGTAAGTACTTAGGAATGTATACGACACCTGATCAACAAACGTTAGCTGCTGTTGTTATTGTTAGTAATAGTAATATGACTGTTTCTGTGTGGGGACATTGTCCAATGCAGTACTCATGCCCACCAGGGCTGTGGAGGGTCTGCCAACTATGTCCTGTTACAAGAGGGAATTTAATTAAGAAAAGAAATACTTGGTAGGCAGGCCTAGAAGGAGTTTCCGAGGAGGCTGTGAAGTCAGTGAGCTGGAATCCAGGCCTGAACGGAAGCTACAACTAACTTGTTAGCTAGATTGTTCCTCCTACTGGCTGACCCTTCTCCCAGCCCAGCAGCAATGCAGGCATGGGCGGGGGAGGGTCCTGCCCTCTCCCCATTTCACAAACCCTGCGCACCTGCTAGTGCTGAGAAGCTTTAGACTGCAGACGTGGTGGTGGAGTTGGCCCTAGCCCCTGCTCAGCCTCCGTGTTCTATTTGGGTAGACAGGCGATAAACCAGCGAGCAAGTGAAGCCTGCAGAGAGCATGGCAATAGTTAATGTGGTGAGCTGGGCGTGGAGGCTCTTTGAGGGAGTGAAATGGGCACTGACCCGTGATTGGGCACTGAAGTCTGGCTTGTTGCTCCACCCCATTTTGGGGGGTCACTTTCTCCTCCTCCAAGCCACCTAGCCCTTGGTTTCCGTCTGCACAGTGCTGATTGTAGTTGACCTTGGTCCCTATCATAGCCTGGGGCCCAGGAGGTGGTTTGCTGGTTCTTGGACCTCCGTTGTTCATGGCAGACTGCCCAGCTCACAGAAAGTCCTCAGTAAATGTCGGTGGTGTAACTGTTGAGGAGAGGATTGTGATCTGGAATCAGCTACCTGTTCTAAGAAGCAGGGGCTCACTTCTTGGCACCAGATGGGTGCTAGACTGGGAGAAGACTGAGTGCTCAGGTTGGGCCTGTGGTAGGTGGTCTTTGGCCCTCCCTACTCTTCCTGCTCAGCTGTGGGTGCGTAGGGAGAAAAGGGAAGGTTAGGAGACCTACAGCCCCGTTTCTGAAGTCAGGGAGGATGACACTGTCATTCTGGGGTGCAGGTGTAGTCCATGGGCTGGGGCATTTTGGATCTTTGGTTTGCTCTTGATGGGGTTAGAAGTGCTCCAGATGTTGCAGCGGCCCTCCCTCCCCTCCTCTCCTGTGCCTTCACTTCCTGTACCCCAGTATACTCACAGGCATGTGAGCGGTGGGGCCAACAGGGCTGGCTTCCCTTCTAGAAGGAGAGATCAGATGCCTGGACATGGCTTGAAATAGGAACCAGGATCTGGGGTTAGCTTTTGTGTCCTCGGTTATTTATTTAGTTAGTATTTTTTAGTTTGCTACACTGCATGTGCGCTCACTGGAAACAGAGAGAGAGAGGGAGAGAGAGAGAGAGAGAGAGAAGAAATCACCCGTGAGGGCATGGCCCTGCAGCAGTCCTTTTCCCACTCTCCTCTTGGGATTCTGGGCACACACGTGCACGTGCACCAGCATGTCTTTCTTTCCTTATTTTCCTTTTCAGGTTTTTGCTACAGGGTGCTTACACTCGCTGGAGAGAGACAGAGAGAGGGAAAGTGAGAAGCCATCTCCCAGAGGGATGGCCGTGCTGTAGTCCCTTGTCCGTTCTCCTCTCAGGACCTTGGGCATGATTCCCAAGAGGCCAGGTGTGGGGCTTGAACCACAGTTGGCCATGTGGGAGTCTAGTGCCTTAACCACCGTACCACCTACTGGTGTCCTCAAAGTATTTTTCTTTTCTTTCTTTCTTTTTTTTTGAGAGGTTTTTGTCATAGGGCACATGCGCTCACTAGACAGGAAAGAGACACAGAGAACAAGTGAGAGGGAAAGTGAGAAATCACCACCCTGGGTGATGGCCGCTCCACAATCCCTTCTCCATTCTATTTCTGGGCTTTGAGGCATGCACGCATACGAGCCCCATGTGATCTTAAGCCACTGGGTCTGGGACTCGAACTGCAGTCAGCTATGTGGGAGTTCAGCAATGTAACCACTATGCCATCTGGTGGCCATGTCTTTTCTATTTTAGGAATTACTGATTTAATTTTATCATCATCATCATAGTTTTTAAAATTTTTGCTATAAGGTGTGTGTTCTCACCAGAGAGAGACAATGAGAGAGAGAGAGAGAGAGAGAAAGTGAGAAAGCAAGCTACCAGGTCTGGAGCTGGGACTGTGGTCAGCCATGTGGGAGTCCAACACTTTAACCACCATACCCAGAGTGGTTTTTCAGTCTGCTGGGTCTGGGACTTGAGCTGCACAGTTGACCATGTAGGATCAAGCCACCTTAACCTCTGCACCACCTGCCGGACTTTGTGTCCTCATTTCATTCATTTAATTTCTCCTAATAGTGATACGAAGCTTACCTGTGTACTCAGCACTGCCCTAGTCCTTTACACATACTAACTCATTTTAAACCTGATGACAGTAACCCTGCGGTTGTTAATTTTAGAGATTTCTATTTCAGTTGTCACATTTGTAGCTGAGAACCTGAGGTACAAGAGATTATGTAACTGGCCCAGGGTGATAAGCAGCGAAGCCAGGATTTGAACCCAGACAGTCTGGGATCCAGCATCTGTGCTCCTTACTCTAAGTTGGACCTTCCCATCTGGGGACTGGCGTCCCACCAGGGAGATTCCTTTGAGTCCCTTTGTCTGGCTAGAAGCCTGGACTGCCTGAGACGGCATGGAGCCCTTGTCCTTTGGGGTCCTCTGAGGCTCCAGGGGCGGAGCTGGAGCTCCTTAAGGAGAGAAAGGTGCTGTGCTCAGCCTTCACAAGAACTCGGTCTCTGCCTCCAAAACACCCTTTTGCATATACTGAAGTCTGAGCGCCGGAACTGGGGTGTGGGGCTGGGGGCCAGGTGCTGGCATGTTTCTCTGTAGCTCTTAAGATGTCACATGCTGTCTGTGGCTCCTGGCCAAGCCCCATGTCCCCAAGAGCTGGTTACCTGTGCATGAGTCCCCGGGGAGGTCCTTGGGCTGGCCTGTCCCACCCTGTCATGGATCCTGTCCCTGCTCCCACTTCTGTGCTGTGCCCAGGGAGCATCTCTGTGACGGGTTTCTCTTCACACTGACTCTTGCTTCTAGGTCGTCACTGCAGACAGGGCCCAGCCCCTGCCCCTCCCTGGTGTCTTGGCTCCTGCAAGGCCCTGAAGGTTGAGGAGATGATGAGTGTTGGCCAAAGCCTGTCAGTCCATCCTGTGAGGTAAGTGTACAGACAACATCGCCTGTTGTTTGTACACCCCGGGGCTCCTGAGCAGGTGGGGTTGGAGGCAGAGGTGGGAGCAAATGTGGTTTGGAGGATGGGGAGGGAAGCCCTGAAGAGGTGGCAGGTGAGGCGCTGCTCAGCCCCGGGGGAGGGGGATATGATTTCTTTCTTTTTTTTTTTTTCTTTTTTTTTTGGAGAGGTTTTTGCTATAGGGCGCTTGCACTTGCCAGAAGCAAAGAAAGCGACAGAGTGACAGAAAGCGAGAAATCACCCCTGGAGGGATAGCCATGCCGCAATCCCTTCTCCTCCATTCTCCTCTTGGGATCTTGGGCATGCACGCACACATGCCTGGCGTGAGTTTAAGCCACCGGGTCCGGGACTCGAACCATGGTCGACTACGTGGGAGTCCAGCGACATAGCCATATGCTAACTGCTGGTCTGATTTCTTTAGAGCGAGGGTAATGTGAGTGGGGCCAGGGAAGTCTCATTTGCTTAGCAGGATGGGCTGGGGGGCTCTGGCCTGGGTGACATGAGCTGGTGGGGTGGGGGTGTGAGCTGCTCTCAAGGCAGCATGTGCGCAGTGACAGGAAGCTGAGAGGGTGGGGTTGGATAGCTGGGGCTGGGCTGGGAGTGTAGTAGGGCAGACACAGCAGAGGGCAGCTGGCCTGTTTCCAGGGTGTAGACATTACACCAGGAGAGAGCGTAGAGGGAAGGCCTGGACCACCTCCTCCTCTCCCCAAAGAGTGATGAACACTCCTCCATACCATGGCGTATTTGTAGGTCCTGAGATGCCTCGGTTGGGGAGGGGGCCTCTGCAGTGTGGGGCAAGGACACACCCTCTACTAGCCACCCACCATACTTAGAGGACAGTTGCCTACTTATGGCCGTGACCAGGGGATCCTTTTACAGATGAAGATACTGAGTCACAGAGGAGAGAAGTGACTTTTCAGGGTCCAACAGTGGGGATGTGTGGAGCCAGTCCTTGAGCCTGGGTCTTCTGGATTCCAGGTAAGCTGGGGGCTTGGTCTGGGTGGACACAGCTTCCTGTCTGAGAGTGCTTCCGAAGAAAGGACAAGCTGGTCTGTGGGTGAAATGGACGAGGATAGCAATGAAATTCTCTTCAGTCCCGCCTTCCCCTGGGGAGTTGAGGTCCGGGGATAGGGCTGAGGACACCCAGGTCCTGGTTGCTGTGCCTGAGAAAGCTGGAGTGCAGTAGGTACCCTGGGACTCTCAGGTCCCCTTCTTCCTTCTCCTTGGACGGGGGCCATCTCTGAGCGACAGAGATGAGGCAGGGGCTGCTCGGATCTCTCCCACAGCCCCAACGCTGCTGCTGCATGCCGAGTTGGTGCTCAGGGTACAGAGTCCCAGGGAGGTGGCTGAGGTGTGGTGGAAGGGTGTCTGTCTGAGCCTGGGTGGAAGGAGGGGAAGCCTTGGGAGGCCGTTCTGAGGACTGGGCTGGGTGTGCATGGGCCTCCTGCTGGCGGCAGGCTCTGTGCCACCGAACTCAGGCCAGGGACAGGGAGAGCAGTTACTGTAATTGGGAGAGGCAGGTGTCCCTGCTCAGCTGGAGATCTGGGCTTGTGAAGCACGTGAGTGAGGATGACAGCAGTGGCCAGGTGTCTCTCTCCACCAGACCCACCTCTACCCCCAGTCCAGACTTGGCTTCCCTCTGGGTCCACAGCAGCCCTGGTGGGCAGAATCCTGGTGTTTACGCTTGTTGTCGGGGTGATACTGGTGATCGGGTGGAGCTCTCATGCTAGGGCCACCCCAGGGGGCTGCCAGCTGGGGCCCCATGAGAGCTCAAGCTGCTGGTCTTGTGACGTGGGCACCTGTCTGCCAGGCCTGGGCATGGGCCCAGGGTCACGCTCATGCTGGGGCTCCCGTCAGCTGACTATTTTGGGCTCTTGCTGACCTGGGCCAAAGTCATGCCCCAGCCAAGAGGGCCTTGAGGCAGCTCCCCCATCCCCAGAGGCCGGCTTTGGTTTCTGCTTTATAAACAGAAGAGGACGCACTGGCTTGGAGACAGCTCTGCATCCAGTGTCCACCCAGCTGGGCATAGCCTCAGTCGGAGAGGACGGGCTGTCAGGACAGTTGTGTATCTCCCTGCAGGACTTCTTGGGGCCATCAGCAAGGGCCCCCCACCAGCCCTGGGATACTCCTTTTGTGTGGGTGTCCTGGGTGTCAGAGGATAAAAACAGTGAAGAGGAAGCTGGTGAGTGTTGGGAATGGGGGGATACGGGCTATGGGAGCTGGGGTGTTTGGATATTGTACTGTGGTGACTGTCATTCCAAACCCTTGGCCTTGAGAGGAGGGTGAGGAGGAGGAAGCAGAGGTGGTTGACCTTCCCTAGGAATGAGGGTGCAGCTGGACCACAGGTGAAAGGTGGACCTTGGACTCAGGCACATTTTGTGACTGGGAATAGGAGATGTGGAAATAAGCAACACTGCCTATGGCCTTCCTTGGAGATTCCCCCCCAGGGGATGAACCTCTGAACCTCCCCTCCCGTGGTCACCTGGACTGCGGAGAGACTGCTCTACTCACGCAGGAGCAGGACACTGGAATGAGTCCAGTGTCTGCAGGACACCTCAGGATGGGTCTCTGAGTGGGGTCCTGAGCCCCCACTGGCTAGGCCCAGGTGGCTGGGCCGGGGACTCCTTGTTTGGCTTCCTAGCAGCTCCTGGGCCTGAGGAGCAGGGCTGGCACGAGGCCTGGTGAGTGCGCCAAGCAGCTTGCCGCAGACCCGCTCCGGGACCTGGGCCAGGGGCTTGGGCCTACGGAATGAGTTGCTCTTGACGTGTGTGTGGGTGGCTCTTGTGTGCTCCCTCTCAGTTCTCAAAAAAAAAAAAAAATTTTTTTTTTCCCCTTTCTGAACGTGAGTCTCTAAACGAATCCAGAGCCTGTGACTAAAAATACTTTAACAATAGGAAAGTGCATCAGTCTTTCCGGCTGGGGCTGGTTATCAGAGGTTTTTATTTTGGAATTTGAAATTTTGCCTGCAAAGGCGGGTGGAGACCCTGCACAGGGGACTTTGGTGGGTGTGGATGTTCTGTAAGGTGGTGGGAGACCCTCCAAGGCAGAGGAGAGAGGAGCAGGCCAGAAGCTGGACAGCTTGAGGGAGGCACAGAGGGAGATTTAAGGAGGGTGCAGATGAGGCGAGGGCAACCTTTCCCGAAGGAACTCCAGCATCTTGTCTGTGTTTTCCAGCTCTGTCTGGCTGTTCTTCCTAAAGTCTGATCTTACGCCTTTATGCTGTATGTTCATTTCTTCCCGCCTGAGAGGGCGTTGTGGAGAGAAATCACTAGACTGAAGACAGCTGCTGTGTCTGTAGCCTGACCTCCCTAACTAAGCAGTGTTCTTCAGAGTATTAATTGAGCACTTGCTGCATGCAGAGTCTGGAGTTTTCCCAGAGGGAGGGAGCCATGTCTCTGAGAACATTCTTACCTCCTCTCACTCAGCACTTAAGGGGAGAAGTGGGAATGGGGTACCTATTTCTTTTTTTTAAGAAATAGTTAATTAATTAGACCAGAAAGAGATACAGAGAGAGAGAGAGAAAGCAAGCTGCCAGGTCTGGGATTCTAACTGTGGTGGGCTGTCTGGGAGTCCAGTGTCTTCACCACCATGCTGGGCCTGCCGGGCCTGGGGTAACTATTTCTGTCTGGTTCTTGGAGGAGGACTGCTGGCTTCCCAGTACAGCTGAGGACCTGGTATCTCGCCTGCCTGCCCCGGCTGCAGGTCCCTGGATTCAGGTCCCCGACAGTGCCCCATTTGGATGTCGAGTGTCTCTCTTCCAATAGTAGGTTGATTTTCCCAGCATGGGACTTGGGTGTGTCTTGACTTGGGCAGATGAGGGGACAGTTTCGAGAAGGCACAGACCAGGCTTGCTGAGTCCTGGTCAAAGATGTCTCTGTTGTTCTTCCATTTCCTCCCCAAAGTTTATTTATTTTTGCCATGAGTGAGAGACACAGAGTGAAAGAGAGATGAGATACAGCTGCCCTGACAGGGTGCGAGTGCCAGGATCCACTCCAGCCCCAGCCGGCCTGTATCACGGGTGGCACATACGTACTCTTTTTCAGGGAGAGACCTCCAACCAGCAGCCTTCCCACGTGGACCTGCTTCACAGAGCATTGCTGTTTTGCTGCTCCAGTCTCCTGCTTGTTCATCTTTTGCCCTTGCAAAGAGCTGGGGGTGTGGTGGGAGACAGTGGTTGGTTGGCTGTGTTCTTGGGAGCCTTGTTTGGGGAGGTAAACACATGGTAGACCATGGCAGTATCTGGGCAAACCAGGGGGTCAGGGCCAGGGGGTCAGAGCCAGGGGCCTGAGCCTGATCCTTCACATCTGGTTCCCCAAGCTGCCCATGGGAAGCCCCCTGAGGTGGTAGGCAGTGCTTTCCTGCTCATAGCACAAAACCCTCTGTCCACTGCCAGGGCAGGAAGAGGAAGTGGCTGGGTCAGGGCTGGCGATAGGCTCTGGGACTGAGGAGGGGAAGCTCCAGGGGCCACTTCTCAGCGGGAGGAGGCAGACTCACTCCTTCTGCCGACCCACGGGAAGGGCGTGGAGGCCTGTGGGCGGGGATGGTCTCAGTGAAAGTAGGGCAAGTTCCTGCCCTCTGCTCAGCAGGGGTGGGGCCCATCCCAAGATGGGGGGCAGGAGGCAGCATGGGAAAGGGGATGTGCAATTCTACTTCCTCTATTCCCTATTTAAAAAAAAATTTTTTTGTAGAGGTTTTTGCCTTAGGGCACATGGTCTTGGTGTGTGTGTGTGTGTGTGTGTGTGTGTGTGTGTGTGTGTGAGAGACAGAAACAGTGAGAGGGAAAGTGAAAGATCACCTCCCAGGAGGGTGCCCACACTGCAATGCCTTCTCCTCTACTGTCCTCCTAGAACCTTGGGCACACATGCATATACGTGTACATGCGTGAATTTCAAGTCACCTGGTGTGAATTTCAGGTCACCAGGTCTGGGACTCAAACCATGGTTGGCCATGTGGGAGTCCAGCCACGTAATTGCTATGCCAGCTGTTGGCCCCCCTCTATTCCCAGTTTACCCGTCTCTATGCCCACCCTCTTGGCTGGGAAATGGTGGTGGACACTGGCTGCCCATTTCGAGGCTGCCCAGGGCTACTTTCTGTGTGAGTGCACACCAGGCCCTCCTGCCAAGGTCGGGAGACAGTGCCCTTGCCCTCTTGTTCACACACTGGTCCGGTGTTGGATGGGTCTGAGCACATGGTCAGTCCCAGGCCCCAAAAATGTCACTAGGAGGAGTAAGGGCCTGGTGGATGGTTAGAAAGTGGACTGTGTTGACAGCCCCTTTCCTGAGGCTGGGTGTTGCAGCCTCTCCTAACTCTAGCTGTACTCTGAGTCTCTGTTGATAGAATAACTACATAATGAAAAACAGCCACTATGATTTCAAAAACACACTTGAATGAATTTGTACTCAGTAAATTCCAGCTGCATCTGCATCTATTTAAATAAATATGGCTCTCCAAAAATGGCTATTTTTTTTTTTAGAGATTTTTGCTATAGGTGCATGCAGTCACTGGAGAGACAGAGACTGAGAGACAGAAAGAGAGAAACCACCACCACCCCGCACCAAGGAGGATGCCCATGCCACAATCCCTTTTCCTCCATTCTCCTCTTGGGATTTTGGGCATGCACGCACATGCACCTGAGGTGCATGCCGGGTCTGGGACTTGAACTGTAGTCTGCTATGTGGGAGTCCAGTGATGTAACCATTACACCATCTTCTGGTCCCAAGATGTGGCTATTTTTTAAAAAAAAAAATATTTTATTTAACTTTATTTTATTTTTTATTAATTATTTTATTTATTTATTTACTTATTTTCATTTGACCAGATGGGGACAGAGAGAGAGAAAGTGAGAAAGCAAGCTGCCAGGTTTGGGACTCGAACCACAGTCAGCCATGTGGGAGTCCAGCACCTTTAACCACCACATCACTGGTGTGGCTGTTTAAGTAAGCTTTTTTGGGGAGAAAATATACAGACAGAAAAATGTA